GTGCAGAGCATCCACCACACAACGCCAGCAGCGGGAGGAGAAGTGATTCCTCATCCTCCCTGCCCCTCCAAACACTGCTGTCACCCCTTGCTGTCCCCTGCCCCACCTGCAGCAGCCAGGATGTCACCTCTCAAATGGCTCCTGGGTCGTGGGCTCCCATCCCTGGAGGTGTCCAAGGCCAGGTTGGACTGGGCTTGGAGCAACCTGGGATGGTGGGAGGTGTCCCTGCCCATGGCAGGGGTGGAACTGGATAACTTGAAGGTCCCTTCCAAGCCAGCCCGTTCCATGAGTCCCTGATTCCGTGACTGGGCAGTGTGCAGGCAGAGCCGAGGCTGTGCAGCCCCGGGGTGTGCCGGCTCTGCACGCCCGGGGTTCTTTCTCACGAGATGGTGCAAGAGCCGGGGGGGAACTGGTTAAACAGCGTGAGCTGCCGGGGCTTGGCAGGGCAGGATGTCACCAGGAAGCCAGCATGTTTTATTAAACACACTATCAAAGTGGGCTAAAGTCTCTTATTAATGTCCACAAATTTTGCCACTTCCAAATAGTTTCCACCTACATGTTCCTCCCACTGCTGCACTGGGTGCTGGCAAACATCTCTGCTCCAAGAGGGGAATGGCTTTCATTTGAATAGTCCTGGGGCGAGTTTCGTTGAGCGATGCCAGCGTCATTCCCGCAGCTCTCACGTGCCCGGCAGCGCTCCAGGGTCGCGCCGGAGGGAGCGCACAGAGACAACAGAGCTCTCGCTGTGTTTTCCCAGTGCTTTTTCCAGGCACAGCCCATGGCAGCCTAAACCAGTGCACAGAAGCAGCGATGGATGCACATATTTGCAGTATTAAATCTCCGCTTGTGACTCGTGGCGGTTCCCGACGGTTCCTCGGCGGTGAGCGCGGCCAGCTGTGCTATGGAGAGGCAGGCACAGCTGGAACCGGCCGGCTTCGCACCGAGAGCGGCTTTTGCAGCTCCCAGGAGGCTGAGACAGAGCCCTGGTGGGTGTCAAAGTGCCCCTCCCTGGACACCGGGGTGGGAAAGGGGACGTGCAGCTCTCCTGGGAGCTCCTGGCCGGGCACATCCCACCGTGCCCTCACTCCGCAGGACCGCAGAGCCCTGGGCACGGAGGTGCTGTGCCCCCGGCTGGCTGCGCCCTGCGGGGCTCGGAGCGGAGCTCGTTTGCTGAGCCCAGGAGAGAGCCCCGCTCCCCAGCTCGGTCAGAGGCAGCAGGAGCCGCTCCTGGTGCGGAGAGCACGCGGTGTTCCTGCCGGAGCCTCGGGCCGAGGATGCCGAGGGCTGAGCGCATCCCGCCCGGCCCCGCGTCCAGCCTGGGCACGGCTGAGCTTTCACCTCCGGTGCCAGTAACCCGAGCCGGGATTGCTGGAAATGGGAGAGAGGGAGAGTCAGCGATTTGATTACAGGCCACAGGCACATGCCTGGCCTTCATGGATATATTAAGTAAGAGACATTTTAAAACAAAACCACCCTCAGTAACCTTATCGTAAGCTCGAATCCACAACCCATCTGTTAACTCCCGGCGCTGCCCACATAGGCTTCCATCAGACAGCAGTGCCAGGGATTTTTGGAACGTTTTCCCCCAAATCCCTGCGGTCGGAAGGGGACAGTCCCGGGGAAGGGGCAGATCCTGAGTCTCGGATTCCCAGCCCCCCCCCCCAAACCAGCCCCCAAACTCTCACCTTCCCGTGCCTCTGTAAATAGCTGCGAATCCCCTTGGACACGAGCTGTCGCGGTCCTGTGACTCCCAGCCCTGCCGGAGGAGCGCTCAGGAGAGCTGCTGCTCCACGGATGGCTTGAGGGAATTCAGCCTTTTAAAACATTTTGTTACAGCCTGAATCGTGTGGTGTAAAGGAACCCTCCATGTAGAAATAATTCAGCAAACACAAGCGAGAAGGCAAATTGATGATTGCATCAGCCCTTGCTTATGAAAACTGATCCCCAGGAAAATGTAACTCAACTCTCGAGCAATCTCACTTGATGCCCAAGAATGTAATAACTTCATTTGGATCCTCCTTTTCGGGGGACTCCTAAATCTTTGGCAACGTCCCTTAAGGTCATGAGCAAATCCTGATATGGAGAATTGTTTGGCAAGCACGAGAACAGTAAAAGGGCTAAATAATTGGGGATTACCTCTGACCCCGATCTGTGGCTCACCACCCACTGCAGGAATGTACCGAATATCTGAAGGAGCATGCAGGAGTCAGACAATCCACGGGCATGAAGCCGTCCACGTACTCCTGAAGCCTGAACTTCAAATGCAGAGCAGGTTGGCCCCAAACCTCATTTTTCATTAGCAAAAGGCTGCAGCAAGCTCTAATTATTTCTGTTGCCTTGGACAAAGGGTCAGTGATGGGACAGATGAAAAATTGTCTGTGTTTTTTTCACCCTTTGTTTGGAAAATAGCAGCTTGGGTCTTGGGGGCACAGAGGGAACAAACCGTCTGCTCCGGGGCTCGTTACCGAGGCTGCTTACGGTCCCCTGAGCTGCAGCAGGGGACAAACACATCACCCCCATGTCTTCTGATGGTTATTGCTGAATTTGTTCAGTGCCTGCAGGAAAGAGCAGCTCTGCTGTGAGAGGTGACAGCTCGGAGCTGTGATTCTGTGGCACTCGGAGCTCCACGCTCAGCGCCAGGTCCCCTCCCACACTGTGTGCAGGGCTGGGGCAGCACACAGACCCTCAAGGGCAAAGGGCAGGTCCTGGCAGGGGGTTGGACTGAGGTGTCTTTAAGGTCCCAAACCATTCCGGGATTCCGTGATCCTGCCCATAATCACCAGGTCTGTGGGCTCAAGACCATGTTGAGTGGGGCAGCCCAAAGATCTGTTTTGTGGGAGCCCCATGTCGCTGATACGGCGCCGTGGTGGTCACACTGGAAGTGCTGCTGGGAGGAAGTGCTGTAGAGGAGATTTTGGGGGTTTATAGACCTTACATTTATGGCTAGCATCTTTCTGAGGCTCCGACTTCCCTTGGGGTTCTTCCTGGTAACAACAGACACCTTTGGATGGGGGTAAGCCTTAAACAGCCTGTCTCCATCGCCCATTTAAAAACCCTCTGTGCTCTCATGTCGCACCTCCTGCCCTCGGATTCCTCCTGAGGTGGAGCAGCCAGGACTCTGCAGGAAATAGCAGCAGCTCAGTGCTGGAGCTCTGGTGTTTCCTTATCTTGGTAAATGCACCTTTTATCAGCTGAGCCTGCCTCTACTTGCTCAGCACTCAGCAGGGAAGTGACCACGGCCCTTCAGGAGAGTTCTGCCTTGGCAGGTTCACACAAACCATTCTCATGGCTCAGCATTGTGCAACTGCTGGCGTCCACGAGCTGGCACGGGCTTGGCATGGCATGGAATGCTCTGGGTTGGAGGGGACTTTAAAGTTATCATCATTCCAGCCCCTGCCATGCACAGGGACACCTTCCACTAGACCAGGTTCCTCCATGCAACACTTCCAGGAATGGGGAAACCACAGCTTCTCTGGGAATCTGTGCCAGGGCCTCCCCACCCTCTCAGGGAAGAATTTCCTGCTGATCGTAGGATCACAGAATGGTTTGGGTCAGAAGGGACATTAAAGTGATTATCTAGTTCCACCCTCTGGGACAGGGGACAGGACAGGGACACCTTGCACTAATGGGCAGGGACACTTTCCACTGGAGCACGTTGCTCTAAACCCTGGCCAGCCTGGCCTTGGACACCCCCAGGGATGGGGTCCTGCCACCCCAAAACTTCCCTGCAGCACCCCCATTTCCCCAGAGCTACATTTTAGCAACTCTCACTTATTTTGTTTTTTCTCCCACATTTCCAGACTTCTGTGGCTGCAGCTTTCTCTGGGTCTGTGTTTGTGTCTGCGGCACTTTGGGGGTGATTTCTTAAACTTATTTTTTCTTGCCTATCTTGGGACTCAGCAGCACGGTATGGCAGGGCACTGTATGGCACAGTCTGGCACAGTATGGCACAGTCTGGCATGGTATGGCACAGTATGGCACAGTCTGGCACTGTATGGCACTGTATGGCAC